TATGTAATGCAAAGACTCTTTAAGGCAAAAGCACAAGCTGTCCTCAGGCTCAGAAACTTGTTTAGAAGTTGTTTGGTTGTTCATTTTATTAAATAGACAATTGCCTAATGTGCGATGTTCAACACTTCTTACAACTCCTCCACCACAAAGGAAAGACCTGCAGCCATAAAAGCCTGTGCTTCCTTGTCAGCTGTTTCTGAGATGCTGGATAATTAGACAGAGTGTACCATGGTGCTCTGAAGCTCAGTACCACCTCCAGGAAGCATTTTTGGGTTCTCAGTCCTAATTCCACCTGTCTCCATCTGTTTGGCCAAGATGTGTGGTTTGCAACCACAGCAGAGGCTCCTCTGAAAGTTGAAGAAGGTTGAAGAATGCACATGGTACAGGAAACCTTTTGTTTCTAATTGACACTTCCCACAAACAGTATGGGCAATTCATTTATTTTCTTCTCTTTGATATGATAAAGTATCTCCTGTCATATCTTTGCAGATGGTGCTAGTACAGATACCAGCTTTCTCTTGCTTCAATTATAGTAAGCCCCTTGCAATTTCCTTCATATAGGAAGAGAGGGGAGCATTCACTCAGCTTTTTTTAGAGCAGAAAATGATGGGGTGGGTCTGTGATATTTTTTAATTCCTGGATTCATATATTCTATTCAGACCAATGAAAGAGCAGACTCCAACATCCCATGCAAACAAGCTCAACCTTGCAAAATAGCACCTCAGATCTTACTTTTCAATAGCCAATGCCCTGGCTTGGGATACCTACAGGGCAATCTAAGCCTCTGAAATGAAATATAGTTATCAACTTGGCTTTTCTGTCTCAACAGAACTCATTATCCACCTTTTATAAATAAACAATCACTTGGATTTTTTTATGTACAGACTTTCAGAGCAACACAGTGCACTGAGTGTACATCACTCCTTCCCTCTGATAACAAAGGGGGTGAAACTGAATCGCATGTGACAAGTGTTAGCCATATTACCTAGTGTGCACCAAAATTAACAGCTGCCAAGCAGGGTACAATGCCATGGGGACAGAATAGGAGCATGAAACAAAGAAAAAGTTAAACATTTTTTTAAAAAGACAAAAAAGAAAACAAAAAGGAAATCTAAAATATTTTATTCTAGAAGATGACAATCAGCTCTTCTTTAACCAAACCAGTTTACACACACCTACACCAAGCCTACTTGATTTTCCCATAAAGGGCACATATTTAACTCAACCCACAGTGCTTGGAGATCATGTTGTTAACTCCATGCTGCTTGCTCAGATAGCTTTCAAACAAAGTCCACTTCTGTGTTTTTATGGTGCCAGCACTGCTGTGATATTACAACCCCTTGAGAAAGGGAACAATAACACACACTATTGTGGTACAAAGAGAGTACACAAATTCATTTCTGCAGCACAGGAGATTACAGGAAATAAACTGCTTACTCCTGCGGGAACAAAGCACGTGGCACCAGCAAAGAATTTTGGTTTGCACGTGAAATGGACAGCAGTGCCTGACACCAAAAATCAAGGACTTAAACCCTACATTTCTATCATAAAATATTATAGTTTACCCTACAGTGACAATTTATAGGGATTTAAGCCATCTGCTTGTTTGTAGGATGTAGCAGGTCTCAGATCTTTATAAATAAAAATCTTACTTTATATGCAGAAAGAATAGTTTGCTAACTCTGTCTCTTGCCTAATATTCAAGCTTTTCCAAGTATTTCTGGTAGGAAAAAAGTAATCAATATTCCTTCAGATACAAATTTGATTTTGAAAGGTAAAAGAGGATCTGCACTGGGAAACACTGAAGGAGATGCTTCTTACTACATTTGTACTTGACTTAGCTGGGATTTAAGCACATTGTAATGCATACACTTAACTGCTTTCCTGGCACAATGGTAACTTCTGTTATGGCAGTCTTGAAGGACACTGATGGGAAAATGTACTCTGATAAACAAAGTTCCAGCGTACAGTTTAGGATATTTAATACTGACTGGTCGATAGTTACCAGTACTGACTGGGACTGCAAATACTTCATTAATGGAGAGCTGATAAGGAGACATCTCAGCAAAACTCATACTCTAGACTAACCCAAAGTAGAAACTTGGGGTTTTGTTTAATGGAATCTATTCATTTGGTAAAGGAACAAAGGAACAATAACGTTGTGTTTAATAGCAAAGTATCATTCTTGATCTACAGATAAAATATCCCCAAACTTCTACACAGACTAAAAAGCCTGTCATATGCATGGATTGGAGCCCTGCTTTCCCTTTCCTTCCCAGAGAAACAAAAAATCCCACTGTTTTATTCTAGGCTGTTGCTCCCTTTACCAGTTTGAAGTAGCAGATGCCATGCTAGTGCACAGTATAGGACATCTCACACGACTTAAATCAGGTGACTCTGACACTGAATGGTCGGCAGTGTAAATCCTCCTGCGCTTTCCCCCATGTGACAGCCCAAGGTCAGAAGGCCAGGACCCCCTTGTGAGTCTTGCCACCAAAGCTGTGTCACAGGTTGTCTGAGAATTTTTCCTGGCATTCTAATGCCTAATGCAGAAATTAATATAGTGGCAAAAATAAGTTTCTTTACTATTATAATTTATTTTCATCAGGATACTAGTATAAAGTGCACCAGCAAAAGTACAGAGTCCATACTAGGATGTTTCTGAGTGTAGCTATGACAACAAATCTGTTAAGTAAATGTAACAGCCTTGTCCAAATGCTTCTGTTAATTCTCTTATTGATAAAATACCTGTTATCGCAGCTAAGGGGTCTGCTGAATTCAATTGCCCCCAACAGGCTTTACATATGAACTCCTCTCAGATTTCGCTACCTCCTTCTGCAGGAAATTCATTCTATTTTAGGAAAAGCAGAGCACTTTCTGTTGTCTTGAAAAACAATGCCACCAGCAGACTTGGCAGAGATTACAATTGCAGCCAACTCTGGGGTAGTGCCACCCAAGAGGACTGGGATGGCTCCTGGGGAAGCTGGCCTTGGCTTGGGGACAGCAGGGCCTTCGGAAAGCAATGAGAAGTCTTGCTCAGCACTGGTGGTACAGATGGTTATACATTTTGTGAAACAAGAGAAGTTAAGTAGTATTGCATTCTCTCCACAAAGCACACAGCAACCCACCCATGAAGCTAGCTTTTACATGGATCCTTTACCATCTCAGGCCTTTTCTACTCTAATTAAACCAGAGACAAAAATATCCCAGCACCAAGCCAAATACCATTAGGAAAAATTCTCACGGCTCTCTTTGACTTTAAATAAAGATGCCGCTGCTGAATTTATTTGCTGCAGATTTTGGGAATGCTTATGTTAAGATGCCTTTTCCAAAGCCTAAGTCAGTGCCAATATAGTTGTTAATGGTGCATGGTGGTTCTGCAAATGACGTGCAACTCTTATTCTGCCTCTTCTTTTTCTGGGATTGACTTGAAGTGCGAACTCAGTGCAGGGGGGGCATCTTTTGGATACCTCTGATGTGGTGACGGATTGAGACATATAAGTAAAGAGAAAAGCATCTGAGCTAAGTTCCTCTGAACTCTCTTCTACAGCTTGTTACTATTTCCTTTAGCAGCTTCACAGTAGAAATACACTGCAGTAAATGCTTAAAATGGATTTTTCTTCCAGGAGATAGGCAAGGTTTTTTCATTGAAACTAACAGTGACAGCAGAATATTACCTCATAACTGCTTTTGCTGCTATGGTTTGTACAATCTGGGATCAGCCCAATTACACTGCCCATTGCTTTGCAGAAAGGCACAGTCACCATATTGAGGCACTTTCCACATCCCCAGGATTTAGTTCAGTATCTTCTGAGCAATCTCTGTTGCTTTCAGCTTTAGCAGCCTAGCAGGAGGGTTGTTTTAGGGAGATCAATAAGGAAAGACATAGTACTATTAGGAATTGATACTGTTAGTATGTCCTGGCATTTTAAGTTCTCTGGCTGTAGCACAGAAGCAAAAATCAGAGGTGCAGTTGGTCCATGTAAAAAGAGTTATAAATTATTTAGGTCTAGAACTGGCTGAACTCAGTTTAGGCTAGCATACCATTTTAGTCATTCTCACTCAAGAAGCATGTGGCTTGCTTGAAAAAGGAGAGCAATTAAAATAACAAATATGGAAACACTGGATATGAAGACAGATTGCAGATTTTTTTTTTCTCTCCTATATCTGCCTTGTCAGTCTAAATTTCTTTCTGGGGCAGCGAAAGCCCTGGTTCTGAGTACATGAATCCCTATATGAAAACTGCCACTGCCATTTTTTCAGGAGGCAGGTATCTTGCTTTTCCTGATCATTTGCAGCTTTAACATTCCATATATTTTCTTCCTTGATAGTAAGCTAATTTTTATTTTAGTACAAATCTTTCCATCTGTAAGCATGCAATCAGTTTCTTTGAAGACCAAGTTTATTTTGATCCTTCAGTTTTTCCTGTACAGTAAACAAATATTTTCTCACTCTCAGATTTTTCACTCTGATATTTGTCAAGCACCTTGTAGTATTTTAATGACTGAGTTTAATTACGAGCACCCAACCCAGGATTCCCTCAACAATCAACAAATAAATGCAAAAGCAGCATGGAAACAGCATTGTGCAGACAATACCTTTCTGTGAATATGCCTTAGAAAAGTAGTGAATGAAGCTGAATAGCTGTCAGAGCATGTCTGTACCCATCGTGCCCTTTCCTGCCACTGGCTTCAGAAACAAGCCTGTGAGATTAAATCTTGCTTTCCTGAGACAAAAGGCAAATCTTGAACAGAAGTAAAAAATTAGTCCATGGGAGTGCCACAGTCCAACCACCATCTCCTCTAGGGACATCAGCTGCTCTACAAAGCATGAGAAGAGGAGGCAGCATGTGAGGACTGTGAAAGGTTGAAGAAGAGTGCACACTCTCTTCCCCCACTGTTCTAGTATCACCTGTGGTGCCCCCAAATGCAGCCTGATGTACTCTTCCTTTCCTTTTCAGTGCTCCCTTAGTGACACATCCTGATTTTGCTTTACTCACCATGAAGGCCATAGTCATTGCAACCTTCTTTGGTAAGTACAATTGGTGTGCTGCAATTAGTAGTTTGTGGGTTTGTACTCTCCTGTCCTGGCTGACCAGTGGCTGCTGGCTTCTTCTCTTCACTTTGGACTCTATGGCTGATTAAGTTCACAGTGGCTGGTGGAGTAAACCTTGGCACAGCTTTTCAGAAATAGGGTACCCAAACTTCTTGACTTTGGTATAGAAGTAATATTAATTATTTGCAGAGATCCCTAAGTACAGGACCAGCTGCATGCAGCCCATATCAGATAGCACATCTGAGCCTGACAAATGGCTATAACGTAAAGATTCCCTCCAAAGAAAAATCAGCTGTTTCTTATATGGGAGCATCCCTTCCCAGTTTTTCTCTGTGTTCTTGCTCTTTCCATGAACAAGAACAATATGTCTTATTTTCTTTCCCCTGGCAGTCAGACAGGCTCTTGCTTTTTGGGAACATGTAGAGACTCCAGAAATTGCAGTTCATCTTACATGAACACACTGGTTGATCAAGCATGATTTCTTAGTGTACGTTACTTACATGTCTCCCTTTGATGGAGATCCAGCCACCACATAGCCTGACAGTGCTGTATGACTTTAACTCTGATATTCCCAGGGAATATTCCTTCTATGTGGGACCCTCAAGTCTGGCAGGATATCCATTCTTAGTTCAACTTCATAGATATCTATGTAGTTTTTCTGTCTTTACTGAGAGACCAAATTACTTTCTCCACATGAAGTTATTCTCTAACATTGCATATAGCACTTCATTTTCCACTGGGTCCCTCCTTTTTTTCCTAACTACAGTTGTGCCTTGGTTACACAACTGCACAAGTGACAAAAGGCCCCAATATTGCATCTGTACACTGTCACTTCAGGCACTGTGAGACTGATTTTTCTTTTGAGCTAGTTCTAGGAGTTATTAAGTCTGTAAACTCCCTGCAATCAGTCTAGGAGGAAAATAACATAAAAGAAAGGAATAAGACTGCTGTTGCATAGTCTATTAAGAGTAACTTAACAAATGATGAGAGGATCAGCCAACACATCATAGAGAGTTTCAGTTCCTTCTGAAAGATCAGAGAAAGGAAAGGTGAATAGAAAGGTCAGGGTATTTGTAATGAAATTATTAATTACCCATAATATAATACTTTAAAATAAACACAGAAAATGAAGAGTTTTAGTATGTCATGCACTTAGCAAGTAAACCTAACACACTAAGCGACATGCATATTTCATGATGTACATTTTAACATAACAGAGTATGTCTCTCTTACTATTACACTTTCCAAATCATAATTCTACTTTCTGAAGGAAATCAGTGTCCTTGCTGGAACAGGATACTGTGATATGCCACACTAGACCCTCATACAGTCCATAATGCTGCCCAGTATCCCATACCTGCTACCACCAGTGACTGAAATGCCACAATGCATGATTACAGGGTAACGTCCCCACTGGGCTGTTAAAAAGGATCTTTCTCTCCCTAACTTCCCAGTTCCTTTAACGCACAGAGCATGTTTTTTCACTGGTATCTCTGTCACCAATTACAAAAGGTTTCCACTGCTTGTGGAAATAGTGGGGCTTTTCATGGTTTTCTGGACCACATGGACTCAATAGCATCTTTTGATAGCAAGTTACACAGATAAATGTGTGAGCTGAACTGTTCTTTAAACCCCTTCAAAAATCTGCCCCACAGCAGATACCATCTTGAGTGTCAGCCAACAAGTAGAAACCTAGCTGTGGCTTAGAATATTCCCATTTCATTTTTTCAACCTGTTGATTCAAATTTGGAAAAATCTCATGCACAGGAGCACATGGTGACTGATGTTGATACTCCCCCCTCCGTTTTTCCTGATACTATGTTTTATTTGTTTTAGGTGTGTTTCTTATATGTACATATGCAGCTAAGGAAGTCACAAAGAAGACGAAAAAAGCCAAGCTATGTAAGTGGTCCTAGTGGTATTCTTGGCTGCTTTACAGCAGGCATGTCTGATGCATTAAAAAAAAATGCAAAGTGAGACTATATTCTGGTAACTCTTCACAATTGTCTGCAGGGTCAATGGGAGCATATGTTAACAGATTATTTTATGTAAATCTAATCACTAAGTGTGGGCTACTGAATGTGTATAAAGGGGAAATTTTGTACTTCACTACTAAAATGTGTCTTCATAGGACATTAGGTACCACACAAAGATCTAAGCAGGCACTGAGGTTTTCACAGAAGGAGAAACATAAATATATGACATAGACCTGCTGTAACACAAAGCATAGGTACCTGATTAGCATGAGACAATTGCTGCATGTCCTATGCTCTAGGATGTATAACATTCAACTACATTGCTGTAAGAGCATTTCTGTCAACAGATTATTTCGCTCATTTAGTTGACAAACAAGCCTGGTGTTATAGATGGCACAGAGCTACATGGGCACAGTGAGAGGCTTGGGAAGCATCCTGCCCCATGTGTGCACAGTCCTTCCCAATCCCAACTCACAGCCACCTCTTCCTCTAAACTCTCCTTCCCCCATGTTAAGCACAACCTAGATGATGACATTTCTTTCTCTCTCCAGCAGTGTCATAACAGATATTTCCTTCAGAGAAGCAAACATTGAAGGTCAGAAATATCCTCAGGCTTCTTTAATGCACCCTTAGTTACAGCCACATCCCTCAGTATAGGGGTTATTGTGTGTTATACTGTTGATGCAGAAGACACAGACATGTCTTGTATCCCAAAAACACAGATACGAAGGCATAAGAGGAGGGCATCCCTGTCACTCAGTTGCTCGTTGTTTCATGACAAGATCACTCAGCTCTGAAAAACATTCAATCTGACTTTACCAAGATTTTGCACTCACAGATGTACCCCAGATCGATTGCGATGTCAAGGCGGGGAAGATAATAAATCCAGAATTCATTGCAAAATGCCCTCCTGGATGTCAAGATGTAAAATACCGTGTTTACGGCACAGACATTTATGCATCCTTTTCCAGTGTGTGCAATGCTGCAATTCACAGGTGAGTGACTTTAAATGAGCAAGGTACTCGGGCAAAACTGTCATTTCAGTGTAGGGAGCTCTCGGCTTTTCAGACCCTTTAAAGTTCCCACTGCCTTGTAGATTTGATTTTAGGCTGCTGTTCTAGTAGAAAACCTATGAGAAAGACCGTGTGTGATGCTATGGATCCAATCGTACAAAGTGCTGTCAATCCTGTATTCCTATTGAAATCAGTCGTGTTTGAACACGTTTCTCAACTTTAGGAGAAGTGTCTTGAAATTTACAGATCTCTCATTCATGCACAGCAAATTACTATTGTACTGTTATTATTTGAGTGGAAGATAAGGACGAAGCTGCTCCTACTAATAAAGCTTCATAAAAAATAGGCATATCACCAGTGATGAATACATATAACTCTCATATTTCTGAGATTGGATTTGGTTTTCCAGATTTGAATTTTACTGTCCTTGACATCAAAGGCAGAGTAACGTGCTTTCCTACCACAGAAAAGGACACTGGATAAGGAAATGTATAATACAAATCTGATAGCACAGATTTTTTTAAGTTCTATTAGCCATTCAAAAATGTGCATAAAATTTTAATGGAGAATAACTTCACAATCAAAACACACTGTAATTGTAGGCAGGATGCAAAGGCAGGGTGCATTCAGCTGAAAATGCAGTAAGAACTTATAAAATCTGATTGACAACTTGACTTCATTTGGAGTTATTTGAGCTTCCAGTTGTGTGAAATAGCTGGGACTTTGAGTAAAGTTGAATAGTTACGGCTCTGGGGACTTTGCACCTTACCTGTGCCGTGTGCAGTGCGCAGGCTGGCGTGTCTGAGTGCATAGAGCTGCCATCTCCTGGCTGCAGCTCTGTCTGCTCAGCCCCTTGCTGGGGAGATGACTGCCAGGCGACTGGCTTTCCAACGACAAATTCTTCCTTCAAATACTAGCGCACAGCGGGAATTGTCTCGGCACACAGAGCTTGTCCCAAAGGGAAGTTACGGAACACTGATAGTGACTACAATTTCCCCCATAGTTCAAATGGTGGCTTGCCTGTGTTGTTGCAGTGAGAGTTTCAGTTTTCCTCGTTTGCCAGCTGGGTTTGGCTTTGTTAGCTTATATATTGCATTTCCTCAGACGGTGAATTTCCTTTCCTTACACTTATTATACCAGCAGATTCTTGCAATCATCAGCAAAATCTAACACTCTAGCATATCCTTCACCATTGTTTGCTGCCCATTACTTGTTTTCCTGCACAGCATCATTACTGTCAGTTCTACCACCGCTCTAGAGCCACAGTCATTTCCTGGTTTGCCTGCTTTGCTAATGATGCTACAGCAGGTTGCATACACTAAAGGTTTTCTGTTTGTCTGGAGATACATGTTACATCACGTGTCAAACACTATTTAATGTGCATCACACATGCAGCCTGCTAGGTTTTCTACAGTTTCTAGTAATATTGTGTTCAGTTTACTCCAGGCTGAGGTTAGAACCAGGCTTAGTTTTTTGCAGATAATACATACTGGAACTCAAATAAAACTTTTTTCTTTTTCTTTTTTTTTTTTTAACAAAAGAAAAAGTCAAGCGAGTGGGAGGTTTACCTTAAATTTGTGTTTCTGTCACATGGTTGGCCTGAAAACTCCTCCGAGTAGCTCTCACTGGATCTTCAGTCATTCAATCAAGCTTGCAGGAATTTTAACGAAGGCAGAGGCTTGTTCTTGTGTGCAACTAGGTCAACCTTAAACACAGGACCAGTAGATCAGTGGAAAGAGCAAACAGATCCTGACAGCACTTTGCAACAAACTGCTCTTCTTTATGTGGAAGAAGCACAAATATTTCTTAGCAGCAGACTTAGTAGTAGCTTCACAGATTCACTGTGGGTCTTGATTTAAAGGCAAAAGTGAACACCTCATACTTCTTGCACTGCTGAATGGTTTCAAAGTCCTTTGGGTGGAATTTCCTCCTTCAGACACCATGTTTTCCCCTTTCAGCGGTATAATCGACAACGCAGGTGGGAAGATCCTCGTACAGAAAGTCGCTGGCCACTCAGGTTACCGTGGAACCTTCTCCAACGGGGTCCGGTCACTGTCACTGCCGCGCTGGAGGGAGTCCTTCATCGTGTCAGGTACCGTGGTGGAGCACCAGAGCCATCTGCCCTCCTCAGCTGCTCCCTGCTGCCCGACCAGCCAGGCAGCAACGGGTGGAGGGGGAAGCAGCCTTCTCATTTTAAAGACCTGTTTAGTCACTGCAGGCCCACCTCACCTAGCTTTAGCATCAATAATGCACATGAGAGTTTTTATTCTGGGGTTAATATATAGCCCACAAAGAGACATCACCCTGCTAGTGGTGTGCTCGATTCTGAGCCCGCTGTGGGGGGTGACAGGCAGTCTGGATTGACTCTCGAGGGCACTTTAAT